ACATTGTTCCATTCTGGGAGACATGCAGAGGCGATTTCTCCCAGAATGAGACACTGCAACCACAGGAGTGCACAATACACTCTTGTCGGTCAAAGTTTTGCAATCACATTCTGAGTGCAGAAGATTGTCTCATTCTGGGAGACATGCAGAGGCGATTTCTCCCAGAATGAGACACTGCAACCACAGGAGTGCATAATACACTCTTGTCGGTCAAAGTTTTGCAATCACATTCTGAGTGCAGAAGATTGTCTCATTCTGGGAGACATGCAGAGGCGATTTCTCCCAGAATGAGACACTGCGACCGACAGGAGTGCACAATACACTGTTGTCGGTCAAAGTTCCACATTCAAGTTATGAATGCGGAACATTGTTCCATTCTGGGAGACATGCAGAGGCAATGTCTCCCAGAATGAGACACTGCGACCGTCAGGAGTGCACAATGCACTCTTGTCGGTCAAACTTCCGCGTTCAAGTTATGAATGCGGAACATTGTTCCATTCTGGGAGACATGCAGATGCAATGTCTCCCAGAATGAGACACTGCGACCGACAAGAGTGCACAATACACTCTTGTCGGTCAAAGTTCCACATTCAAGTTATGAATGCGGAACTTTCTATCAGTCTACGAGACCTCGAAAAGAACCTCACATCGACTCTCTCTTTCCGGCATCTTTACCGCATAGAAAGCTGCTCGTTCGCAACTTTGTGTGCAATCTAAGAGATGATTGCGGTAAAGATGCCGGGAAGATTGACGCTGCAGCCCCAGGCCGCACTCAGATTTCATCCCGCTACACAATTGTTCATCCAACAACTGTCATAGAGGTTGAAATTTTCGACCAGAAGTGAAACATATCATTTTTAAGACTGCGGCGCGCAAGCAAGTTTGAACCTTTCAAGGGTGATCAGTCCTTTACTCATTTCAAGACCTCTTGTTGCCTGATAAAACGATACTTCCTTCCTTGTGGGCCATTAAAAACTGCTCAAACCGTCACAACTTGCTTCCTAAATTTTATTTGCGGAGTAATTATCATGCATATTTTATCGGATAATAATATCAAAGCTAAATTTCATATTATTTTTTAAAGATATGCATTTTCTGTCTAAATTTATTTTTTCTGTTTCCAATTCACGGAATAATATTCTTACAAGCATATACATAGCTAATATATATCATTTTAATAATAATAAAACCAAAATGATGTATTCTTCATATAGTTATTTAAAATTCGTTAACTAGAATTGTATTCAGAACGAGGCAAAGTTAGGAGATACATAAAAACCAATAACTTGATAAGTGATACCTTTTTTCCTGATATATCTATATGTGTTAATGTCAAACACGATTTGGAAAAATTAATTCTTTAAATCGGCTTAAGAATAAGACCAACATCAAAAGCATGGCTAATAAATTAATAAATCAATGTTTAATTACCGATTCATGCATTTTTTTCAAAATTTCAAATTTCAAATTTTTGTTTCTCCAAAATATTAATTGTTTCCACTAGATTAACAAATAAATAATAAATTGGATTAATGTAATGCCCAATCATTCATTTTAAATTTTAGATTTAAAACAATATTTTTCTCCATATTATTATAACATGAATCGCTATGATATAAGAAATATATTTTCAATATTGAAATTGAAAAATTCTAAAATTTTTGAAATTCAATTTGAGTGTGATGATCGATAACATATATTTTTTAATTAAAATATTGTGTCGCTATCATATAAATATACTATTTCTAAATTAAAAATAGGGAAAAAAGTACTATTTAATGATGAAATTGCAAATAATATCAATATATATATATTCATGCTGATATATTTTGGGAACAGATTGAAAATCACATAAATAGGATTGTGTTAGTTTGTCATGGATATAAAACAAATTTTCGAGCTAATTGAGCGAATTTAAATCACAAACACTTATATTTTCTATTACAAGGTATATTTGTAATATACAACCAGTAAATAGCTTTCTCTAACTTTTACCAGCTTAGATGATAGCAAATTAGATACGAATTTCATGACCCCTCACCAAATTCCACTAAAACATATACAAATAAAAGTACTAAGTGGGTATCATCTAACCCTAGAATTATAGCTCCTAGGACTCATCCTAGATGGTAGTTCTGGAAAAACACCTGGTTTTTGGAGTTGCAAAAGTTAAAAATTGAGGGTAATAAATAAAACATTTTGTTGTAGATCGAATAAATCGATTAAAAGCTATCCGATTGTTTTTTCTAAGAATTAGACACATCGTTATCTTATTACTGTTAAATCTTGATGGATAAAATAATAATTGATCAATAACTTGGCAATGAATTGCAAATATTAAAATGCAAACACAAATAATCATATAACAATTAAAAAACTTTCCATAACTTAAAATTTTTTATTTCCTAAGCCAAACTATTACTATAACAATAGCTAAGACAACTGCTACTACTGTTATTGCTGCAAATACTGCAATTAGTATTTTCTGCTGCTTTGAAGTAACTGTCTTCGTTCCATTTCCTTCTTTTGCTTTATCAAGTGTTGATTCATCGAAAATGTTAAGAGTAAATCATTTTTCTGCCTTTTCTGTTGTTGATGTTACTTTGACTTTGAGTGTAACAACCTTTTCAGTTTCATCACTTGGGATAGAGAATTGCAAAGGAACTCTAACCATGCCATCTTTGTTATCTTTCTCAAGAGAAAGCTTAAGAGTGTCTTTGTAGTAGACGAAAATAACAAACTTTGACTCAAAATCAGTATCTGGATCATTTACAACGGCAGTGAAGTTGAGCTTATTTCTTGTATGTTTCTTCGAACTTTGGCTCGACATCAATACTAAGAACTGTGTTGTCTCTAATAATGATTGTTTGCTTCCTTTCTGTGGTTAATTTGCCATCATTAGCTGTAAACCTGATATCGTATTCGCCTACTGGTGTATCCTTAGGGATAGTGAACTTGAATGTCTTGATTTCATCAGTGTTAGTTACATTTGCGGAGTAAATAACTTTGCCATTGAAATAGATTGCGGTGGCAATTGTTTTATCACGTGCATCTGGATCTGAAACGTATCCTTGTATTGTAATCTCTGTTTCTGGTATGTCATACTTGTATTCAGGCCAGAAAATTGTAACTTTAGGTTTGGCATTTGGTGGTGAAATAGTAATATCAATATGCTGCTCAAGAGTGTTAGTACCCTGACGTGTATAAACAATAAGCGCATAAGCACCTATTGCAAACGGACCAATTTCAATATCAAATGAATCTGCCATCTTATCAAAGTATGTTGTGAAATCCTTCAATACACCATTGCTAACTGACATTCCTGACACCTTATTCACAAGGTTGTAGTTGGCAGAAATATAGGTATTCAAATAATAATAGCTGAATGAGCCTTTAATATGGATTTTCTCGGTTGGTTCATAATCATCCTTTATGAAGTCCTTTTCAAGGTTCAAAAGTGGTGGCTCATAATCATTCTTATGAATCATGAATGAAATTGTAACAGATTGGCCAGGCTCGAGATAGTTATTGGTCCAAGATTCGGATATCCAGTAAAGTGGAAATGCATCTCTTGAACTTGAATGTGTAAAGAATCTCACATTTTCATCACCACCAATACCTCTCAATTTACCATTTGTAACTGATGGGTGATTTTGCTGAACCCAAACATAAGAGTCGAAATCACCAAGATAAAAGTAAGCGCCAAAATTGGGTACCTGAGAGTAAAATGAAATATCTGGCGCGCCTGCAAAAACGAGAACAGTGCATAAGTCATATCTTTTTCCTTCTTTTCCAATATTTGTTAAAGTTGTTTGCCTAACAATTGTATATTGCTTGTTTTCATCGTTTATTGTTGTTATCTTATAATCAAGTTCATCTTTAAGATCAGATATATCTTTGACTTTGTCCTGGCTGGCGGCATCGATATCCACGTGTGCAATTTTTGTATAAACCTGCTTGATCATAGATTTATTTCCAGAATCAACTTGATCATAGATGTTAAATGTGTATGGACCGGTTTTATAAGCTTCGATTGCTGACGAAAAGCGAGTTAAAAACAAGGAAAGCATTTCAAATAAACTATAAGCTGAGAAAAGTATTCAAATTTATCTGTTTGTAACAAAATATTGACAGAAAGATTGAAGAATAATAGTCAATTAATTTTGAATGAATCGTAGTCTTTAAAATGGGCGGGAGTGAAAGATAAATAAATGTAAAATTCATTTCACAAAATAATTAAGAAAATTAGTATGCAATATCTAAATACGACATAATTAGTGTGATTTAATTTGGCCGTAACTCAAATTTATTTTGAATGCCTATTCAAACTATCGGAAATCATAAAAATTTTTGAATTAGTAAATAATGATATCCTACTTACATGGTTAAAATATTTCAAATTTCTCAATTTATCGCGCTTTCTTTCTTGAAAATGACAAAACTGAATTAGTTTATAATTTGTATTATTATTACAAGAGTGTATTTAGTCAAAATGTGTTATTTCTCTTATCGAACTTTTGATATTGAACAAGATCAATTAAAATGACATTTTCATTTTCATCACCAAAGTCACCAAATGCATTGCTCTTTGATACAATCGTGCTATGCAATATCTAATTTGATTTAATACGAATAATTACCGTAAAATAAGGCAACTTCTGATCGAGTCATGCCAAAATATATTGGATAAGAATAAAATAACTATAAATATGCTTAAAAAACAATAAGCCAGTACTTTCTACTAGTATGTTTCTCTATTCATTAAATCAAAGTAAATTTCATATTCCAGTCCTATTTTCTCATGCAAGTACTACGAATGACTTTTCCTTGTTATCACACAATAATTTTCTTAGAATTATGATCTTTAACATGATAATGGAAATTCATTATCAGAATACTTGAGATAAACGTTGCGAATTTTTCCTTATTTTGCATTTCTATTTAAAGTCGATTAAAAAAGAACTTACAAATTGAAAATAAAACGCAATTTAAAAAAAAAATTACTTTCTAAGCCAAAGAATTATTACTAACACTGCAACACATACTGTGACAACAGCCATTACTGCGAGAACAATGATCAATACCTTCTTTTGTTTTTGCTGCTTTCTTTGTACAGAAGCTGCAGTTGCTTTAGCTTTATCTTCGGATTGTTGAATCTTCAAAGTTACACCAGTCTCTGATTCTTCATTTGTGCCTTTTACCTTTACAGAGATATGTGCTGATGTTTCTTTCTCATCACTTGGAATTGAAACAGTCATTGGAACTCTAATGATACCATCAGAGTTTGATCTTGAAATTGAAGTTTTTTGATGCTTATTGTAATAGAGAGAAATTGTAAACTTGGAATCAAAGTTAGTATCTGGATCAACAACTACGGCTGTGAAATTAACAACATCGTCTTTATTGAATGTCAAATTGAAGTTTCCTTCAAGATCAATTGACAAAACACTGTTGTCTTTGACAACAATATCAAATGATTTTTCTGCAGGTAAAACTCCACCTGTTGCTACGATTTTAATCTTATAATCGCCTGGAGCTGTTCCTTCTGGAATCTTGAAACTGAGGGTTCTTGAATCATTGTGACTGTTTCCAAATTTCTGAGAAAGCACCTTTTGGTTATTGAAATAAACTTCTGTTGTGATTTCAGTAACAGAAGTATCTTTGCTATAAATATATGCTGCGAGGTTGACATCTGATTTAGGAATGTAATACTGGTAATCTAAAGGAAGTGGGATGATTTTTGGTTTATCATTAGGACCATAAATTAAAACCGATTTTTCCCAAACTAATTCTGATTCAGTACGTTCGTTTCTTGTAACAACTCTTAGTTTAAAGTTTCCTTTCTGTGAAACTTTGATATTTTGATCAAACTGAACAGTTGTTGTATCTTCTGTGACTCTTGTGCTTCCAAGAGTATCAGTAAGAATGACATTATCACTTGATGGATCATATACTTCATATCTAGCTGAGATTGGTTCATCAACAACATAACTTGAGAAAGATCCTTTAATTGGGATTGTTTCTTCTGTATCATATTCATCTCCAATTAATTCTGATTGAAGTTTCAGGATTGGTGGATTGTATTCATCATAATAGATGAGGAAAGAGAATGTTGATGATTTACCTGGTTCAAGCCAGTTGTTTGTCCATGAGGTTGCAAGCCATTTCAAGTCTTCGCCATCAGGATTGATCTCAGAATTACGATTTGTGAAGAATTTTGGATTGTCACCATTTCCAATACTGTATTCGTTCTTGTTTGTGACATTTGGATGGTTTTCGTAAACCCAGGTGAATTCAACAGCTGGTGTGTAGATGTATGCACCAAAATTATTGATTGGCTGAGCACTCATATCCTGATCTTCTGGATAGTAGTTCTTGAATTTAATTGCTGTGCAAAGATCAAGTCTTCTTTTAGTTGTTGCTGTATTCTTTATTGTTTGTCTGATCACTGTGAAATTGCCATCAGGATCATTATACGTATCTATAGAGTATTCAATATTGGGAACATCTGAAATATTAACAACTTTATCTTGGTTGTTTCTTTGAATATCTTCATATGCTACTTTTGTATAGATTTGGTCAACAATTGTGAAATTGTAGCCATACTCAGTGTGATAAATGTTATATGTGAACTTGCCTGTTTGATAAGCTTCAATGGATCTTGCATCCTGCAATAAAAAAGTCCAAATCATTACAAAGTGAAATGATTTTGATAAAGCCGATTCAATTGAATTCTAAAATTACAAATTTGATATAAGAGCTATTAATCATTGAAATTGAAGATTTTTTCCCACTGACCTATTTTGCATTCAAATTTTTGAAAGTTAACGAGGCCTTTCATTAATATATTTGATCGTTGTCAGATGTTAGAGTAGCATGCAGTGTTGATGGACTATCTAATTCTTGGACTTTGTTTTTGAGAGCCTCTCAAAATCGACAATACAATTGTCAAAAAAATTGAAAAATTCAATCAATTTTAAAATCATTTTATGAAAAAATATTCGCGCTATTTGACATTAATTTGAAATGAATATATTGTTGTAAACAGAAATTCATCAAAAGTGACACCTCAGAAAAGCTAAAATATTGAATTTTTGGAACTTTTGATAGAGCACGTTTTTAAATATTAATTAAAGTAAATGTATATTTTGTAAAGATCCTTTTTAATAAAAAATAAAATTTTGAAGAAGAACACAAAATCTTCTGAAAAATAATATCACATAAACTCATATTATTTTCTAATATATAACTATTTTATATAAAAATCAAATTCAATGATCTTAAAAGCGAAGGATAAACCTCAAAATTTACGAATATAATGAGTGGGAATATAATGCTTATCTATCATAAAACCATATGAAATATCAATTTTTGCTTTACGCCTAATTTTTGACGACAATTAGCAAAAAATGTTAAATGTTAACACTCAGTCCATTTGAATATGAAAAATAAAATTGACTTTGATTAAATGTTTTTATTTATCATGCAATTCTTCTTGCGACCAAAGATTTGAATAAAAGTTCAAAAAATAAGATAGCTTAAAAATAATATACGGTAGTGTTTACTAATAGATGAATAGTATATAAATTCTATTAAAATGGATTTGATCCAAAAAAATATAAAACCAAAAATAATTGTTATAATTTCAATGAAGAAGTAATTTAAAACGATTTTATTTATGATCAAATTTTATATATTTTTTGGATCAAATCCATTTTAATAGAATTTATATACTATTCATCTATTAGTAAACACTACCGTATATTATTTTTAAGCTATCTTATTTTTTGAACTTTTATTCAAATCTTTGGTCGCAAGAAGAATTGCATGATAAATAAAAACATTTAATCAAAGTCAATTTTATTTTTCATATTCAAATGGACTGAGTGTTAACATTTAACATTTTTTGCTAATTGTCGTCAAAAATTAGGCGTAAAGCAAAAATTGATATTTCATATGGTTTTATGATAGATAAGCATTATATTCCCACTCATTATATTCGTAAATTTTGAGGTTTATCCTTCGCTTTTAAGATCATTGAATTTGATTTTTATATAAAATAGTTATATATTAGAAAATAATATGAGTTTATGTGATATTATTTTTCAGAAGATTTCATTCTATATGCCTATGAAAAGTACTCTCAAAACTAACTTTTTCCTAATTATAATTAAATCTAGAATATTGTATTATGCTTAGTATTATTTCATTTTTCTCATTCAATTTAGAATTTACAAATGTCAAAAAATTGAGAGCTGTCACTTTTGATAAATTTCTGTTTATTACACCAAATAAAACGAATACTCTTTTTGACATGTTTTTTGATCATATCAAATCTCAACGATGATTAAGGGTGCACACGAGAGGATCATGTAAACTTCAGAATTTACAACCTTATTTTTAGGCATTATCTTGGCTACCTATTTAGGCTCGAAAAGCAAAAAATATCAAAAAATACAACTTGAGTCCATTATGACCCTTTCATGGAGGTAGTTTTTATCCGCTAGTATTTTCCCTTTGAATCTCTTTACAATTCGAAATCAAATTCAAATCTCAGTAGAAGAAAGGAAGAATCGACTTACTACGGTTGTAATACGAATAAATACATATATTTAATTATTTTTATTTACATAATAATTGTTTGAAGCTCATATTCCATCAAATTTTTAAATAAAAACATTAAAATGTTGAAAATGTTCATATATTTTAATAGGGTTTTGGCACTTTATTGAGGAATTACTACATACATAGTCGAACTGAACTTGATATTTTGAAATTTAAATTATTTATCAAAATTAAAATTTAACTTGAAATTTATAATTATTTAGTCATATTTTGCATAATTCTAAGTAGATTTTGTAAAAAATCAAAAGAAAAATTTTAACGTGCTTTATTTTTTCTTTTTTATAATAATACATATTATTATATAATTAACATATTCATAATATTTCACCCTTTCAAAAATATAATCCTCCTCCTCTCAAATAAACGTACATACGGGTGGCCTCTTTTTTCAAAAAATTAAAATTTGAAATTTTGGGCTCAAATATTAGAGATTTTTTCAACCTTCAACGATATATGTTGTCTATATCAGACCTCCTTTCTTTTTGATACTTAACATTGTTCCTAAATCTTAGCCGTTAAGGCTGTTCTGAAATAGGGATGCGACGGTTTTACGCCATGACCGTTTAAAAATAGAATAATACGCCATTTTTGGGGCCGAATGGCGGGTACTTTGTACCCGCCATTCGGCCGAATAACAAAACAATACAAAATTATCGCCGTCCTTTTTTTCTTTCTTTCTCTTTTTTTTCCTCTCTCTCTCTTTCTTTTCTCTTTCCTCTTTTTACTCCTCTTTCTCTTTTCATCATTAAACGTAGAAAGATATATTAATATTATTAGTAGTATATATGGCGGGTTGTGTGACTTTTTTTGTAAACGTAAGAATTCATACAATATTGAACGATTTTGTAAGTAATTTTCATACAATTGATAAAATAAATGTATGATTCTTACGGTTTTTATTCTTACGTTTTTGAATAAATCAAGATTTAAAATGATACAAAATTGTAAGACATTTACACTCAACCCATACATTAAATGTAATAAAAAAAATAAAAGAAGCTATATATATATAGATGATGTCAGATATTCCGCGATTAATTAAACATTGTTTAAATCATGAATGGAATCAATGGAGTCATAATCAAAGACCTCATAAACGAGAAAAAGAAATTAAAAACTAATGATTATTTGAATTTATGAAATCAATTATTTGATTCATTCTTTCTTCAATCTCTTCTATTCTTTTTGTTAAATCATCAATTTTCATTAATGAGGTGATTCTTGATTGAGGAATAGATTTCAAACTAACCACTCCTTTTATTTTTGAAATTTTGAATCCATCAACTTTAAACATTTTATTCAATTTACATGTTGTCAATTCTTCAAATAATTTTTTATTATTAGCATAATAGTCATTAAATTCTTCAACAGATGAAAAAATTTTTATTTCAGTAATTGGTTTAACAACGTTTATTTTTTGTTGAACATTTTCACTTTCATTTATTTCTTCCTCCTCTGTTCATTTATTTTTAAAATCGGTTTCATTTATCATTAAATAAAAATTAGAATATAAGTGATGAAATATATTTTTTAATTAATATTAAATCAGAAATGGCGGCAGGATTCTTTAAAAAATTATGGGATGGAATTAAGAAAGCTGCGGGTTGGGTTTATAAAAAGGTTATTAAACCTGTTGCAAACTTTTTGGCACCAGTAGCGAAAACGGCAGGAACTATCATAGGTGGAGTATTAGGTACTAAAGCAGGTAATCCGCGATGGGAGCACAAGCAGGTAACGCAATTGGTGGAATTGCTGAAGGAATACTTAATAAAATAGGAGGTAAATAGTGGAAAAATAAATATTATTTTTATCTTAGTATCGGTTGTAGTCTTTGATAAACTTTTTCTCCTTTATTTAAAATTTCTCTTATTGGGGCAGCTTTTGGTGTTATTGATTCAGCTACGTCACTAATTGCTTCTTTATTCTTAAATATCCAATTTGCTCCCTTCTTCAATGTTTCCCAAACTTTACTCGCTCCTCTTTTTACTCTATCCCACAGTTTCTTAAATATACCTGCAGCCATAGTTGATTATTTCATTAAAATTAAAAATTCATTTATCTTTTAATTTTGATTTTTTTATTTATTAATAAATGACGACTAACTATTTAGTGCCAAACACTAAACCAATTAATGGAAATGTGTTTCATTCATTCGAAAAGATAAATGAAATATTCGCAAAGAATGATGGTAGAAGATATTATAGAGAACTTGAAAGTTCATGCTATGACTCTGATGCTCCATATTTTGATGATAAACAAACTCATTTAAGAATTACAAATCCGGCTCATGATGTGAACCAATTAGGTGACACATATATTAAACGCAAAGTTAAAGCAACTCTAGTTTCAAATAAAGCTTTCACATGTGATGCCGCTTTTAAATGCATGCGTTTATTCGTTGGTTACAAATCATCAAATCAAAGCTTTAAACAATTAGAAGTAGAAACTGAAAGAGGTGATGCCGGTTATCTTCAATGGATTGCGCCCGTGAATCTTTCGCATTTGCAACATATAAACCAAAATCAGAAAGGAAAGTTAAAAAGTTTGTTCATTCGTTATATAATAATGTTCAAAAATATGATAACTCAGTATGTGGTAAATATATTGACCCTTCAGAAGTTTTCAAGAAAGCAAATGAAGAAGTTGATGTCACTTTTGATATGATTATTCCGGTAAATGATTTGTTAGCATTTCAGGCGTTCGATGATTATCCTAAATCATTTGGTGATATCATTCTTAAATATTATGTTTTCAGGGATACTTTAGTATTTTGTCAGGTTGACCCGTTAAGAGTTGCTGATTTACAAAATTACGTTTATGAAAAGATAACTGATGAAAATTATGAAAAGATTATGAATCATGTTTATAAATATGATCGCAAATTCCAACAAATCGGACTTCCTGCCAAATTAATTACAAGCTTAGCCGCTACATCTGCTGACGCAACAGTTGATGACGTTATTATTTCATGCACAAAGATGGAAGTTTTAGAGGATAAATGTATTACACCAGGATACGGTTTAATTGAAGAATCAGTTAAAGCAATACCACGTTTATTCAGTAAGGAAGATCCATTCATGATTCCAGCTCAACATATTGACGTTCGTTCACTAAATGGAGGTTGCATCACTCCTGAAGGTATTAGCTCAGATTTCTCATATGCTCTTCATAATGTTACAGATGTTGTGTTAACATTTCCGAAAAATGCAATGCAAAGAACAGTTTTAGAAAATCCAATGCTTCGAGGTCTTCAGGTCACTATAGATTCAAGAAACTTCCCCGATCAAGCGATGACCACAGTGGGTGACATATTCTTTACACGTATGCTTCAAGCTTCTGATTTAGATGGAGTGAATGAATGCACGGAAGAATACGAGGACTCATTAACTAGACCACTGAATGCAGATATGGCACGCCATTAGCTAGAACATGGAAAGACCAAACTCATTCTTATGCACTATTCCAGTTCAACGTGATGGAGCGGGTATATTCTTTGATGGATTAGAAACTTTTAACTCACAAGTTACAGTACAAGTGAAAGCTTATCCAATCATTCAGGGTGAAAATGACACTTACTGTTCAAAGGTGACAAATCCTCCTCAGGTTTGGTTTACTAGGACTACATATTGGACATGGACACCGGATGAAGGTTTGAAATATCATCCAACAGGTACACCACCACAGTATAGAAGTTCATATGATGAAATATTGATGAATAGAAATGTTTAAAATTATAAATTTATTTTTGATTAAATGGATTTAAATTCATCCACCCCTTATGAAGAATTAGCAGGAGTATATAATACATACGTAGATGATATGATTAATGAAGCATTGAGTGATAATAAAATGCTCTATCTAAGGAAAAATTAATGAAAATTCCATATTCTGAATGTTACTTAAATTCAATCACTGCAGCAATTGGTAAACAAAATAAAGGTAAAACATTAACGATATTAAAACAAATTATCATTATTGCTAACACTTCCCCCATTCACATGTGTTAATTTATATCAACCGTTCAGGTTCACCTTCAGATGATACATTTGAATCTTTAAAGCATTTAATCAAAATTCCAATTATTTATTTATCACAAGAAGAAGCAGAAGATTATTTAAAAAACTTTTTAATGTATAAAGAATTATATAATACAATCAAGAAGCAAGGATTAGAGGATAAAATTATTGATAAACAACGGGATGAATTATTTGAAACACTTTCCATTTCAAATTTTGATAAAGAATTTTTGCATTCACTCATTTTTCTAGATGATGCAGTGAAATCAAAACTAATAACAAATGAGAAATCATATTTTAATCAGTTATTAACTCAATGTCGACACATTCAGTGTTCATTTTTATGGCTGTTCAATATTTCAAAGCATTAAGCACAAACATTAAATCAAATCTATCAACACTTTTCATTTTCAGTGGGTTTAGTCGTCAACAGTTGAACGTTATGCTTTATCAAGTGAATTTACCAATGAGCATTAATGAACTTTACACACAATATCAGCAATTAGGTGAACATGGAAAAATAATAGTTGATTTAAATAAAGGGGGTGTTAAATTTGATTAACTTTTTATAATTAATTTTTATTTTTTATTTATAATTAAACATGACAGAAATAGCAAATCTTTTACAGTTCCATTAAAACAAGGGACAAACAAAAGGGGTGCATATAATAGAACTATGAAAGTTCCCGATGGAATGAAAGAATTAGTTCATATTGTTGCTGGTCTTCAAAAAGATGTTAAACAAATGAGAAATGTTTTAACATTACCAGAAGCTCAAGCATATGCCAAACGTCATGGTCCAAATTGGGAAGCACACGAAGCAGACATTACGGGTCCAAATGGAAAACCTGATGGTATAAATGAAGTTTTCGTTACTGATGGTCAAGGTAATATTAAAGTCATAAATGGTTATAAATTAACTGTATCTGATTATCCTAAACGTAAAGCATATAATGAACATTATCCTATGCAATTTGATGAAAATGGAAAAGCTGTTAAACAATACATTGGAGAAGGTGAAAATGGTCCAATTAATTCATACCGTCATAATCCATATTCTTATTTCAATGAGAATTAAATGCTATTGAAGAGGGACCGGATGGATTACCACGATATTCTAACCAGTTTGATGGTCAATATGCAAATATTAGACCTGAAATTTCAGCTAAGAAATTCTTTAAAGTTGCTTTATTCGATCCAGTTTTCGCAAATGTTAAAGATGAACTTAAACAACAATTCCAACCAATTATAGTAGCAAGAATTGCATCGGGTGCTTTATCTCAAGCATTCAAAGATTTAATTAAGAAACCATTATATCAGCAACGAGGTTTAACTTATGATTTAGTTAAGGAATCAGATAAAAGAAAATTTGAGAAATCAGTTGATTATAAGAATGCAATTAATGAATATATTCGGTCTATTAATTTCGATGAAACAGCTAAAAATCAACTTCATGAACAAATACAGGGAATAATAGATTCAAAAGTTCCAGAAAATAAAAGTTTAAATATATTTTTTTTATTCGAATATAAATGAGAAGACGTTTTACTAGTCAAAAGAACACTAACGCAAAAGCAGAGATTACGGTTGGTTATAACGTAAATGATGATAAATCACGAATTATTCAAAATGTTAAAGTTAATGTTAGCCCTGAATTAACAAGGTCAGCAACTCAACCAAATTTATTAACTCGTGACTTACCGAAGAATGAGGAGAGAAAAAAAGAAGATGGAGACCCAATCATTTTATCTGAACCTGGTAAAGAACCCGTTGAAATTCCCACTTATCCAACATACCCCACCTCTTTCATCAAACATCGAGAACCCATATAAAATAGACATTAATTTTGAATTAATGAAAATTTACCGTGATATAATAATTAATAATTATGATTCAATAATAAATTTAATTGACCAATCCGGTTTAATTATTTTACCTTATGAATCATTAATTCACATTATCGCCATTCTTTGTGATGTTCAAGATTCAGACGTTAAGATTCAATTTTTCATAGATGATGAGGTTTCATGCTGCGGAACAGTTGCAAAAATAAATCCTATAAAGGATATTAGCACAATTAAGATATCAAAGAACGGAACAACAACCGAACTTCATTTAACATATAATGATATTTATAATAAAATAGTTGATGAATATAAAATATCACTTGAAAAATTCTTTGTTAAGGCTATTTAATATTCAAGCATTAACATTATCGAATAATAATCCTTTGAATCATAATCAATAATAATTGACCTTTCACCAGTTTCTATCGTTTGTTTTATTTCTTTTTGTTCCCCACTATCCGGATCAGTCATTGTAATTGTTTTTGTTATAGTATCAGCTTTATCTTTAACTTCAATCTTTTTTCCATCGGGATATTTAAACAAAATTCCAAAAATTCGATATTGTCAATCTGTTCATATTTTAATCTATCAATTACATTTTTAATACCATCTGAAATCTTATGAAATGGTCATTATAGGTTTGATTGAACTAAATTTGAATGAAGTGAAATATAACCGATGATGAATATGACATCGACTCATATTTTCTGAAACACAAAATTTATAACATGAATGAATTTTTTATTCGTTGAATTTATGAATTCTTGAGGTAATCTTATCCTAGTTTATTTATCACTGGAAAATAACGCTTTACCATATTTTTAATCGTAATAAAAATGTCAATTATCAATATTATTTCGAATAATAGTTGTGAATTAATTTAACAGTTAGTGGAATTTATAATGTTACTCTGTTTCTGTGAGTGGTAAATTTAATCCCATTCTTTTAGACCCTTCAGATTATATATCATTTATTAAAGATGACCATGAAAAAACGTATGATATGTATATAAATAATGTGATCACGAAATGGGATATTAACACGATTTTAAGTTATTTAAATGAATCATTTATCGTATGGTATGAAGAAAATTTTAAATCAAAACTGAAAAACTTTTGAACTTGATGAAATAAATAACCTTATTAAATTCCCGCTGAAAATTAAATTTTGTACTCCTCATTTTCGTTCATTGTTGGGATATTAAATTTTGAAAAAGATGTTGGGGATGTTTTGTATTCCGACACTGGTTCCAATTTCATTTAATCAAATGTGATAAAGTTAATACCCCAATGAGATTTTCACATCAAACATTAGACCCTAACTCTTACCCATCAATACAAAACATTTATCCATCAACTTAAACACATTTTCTTTATCATATCCGTTTCAATTACGGGAATTCATTTATTCTTCATTCAAAAGATTTATCAAATATTAAATTTAGAATAACTGACCTATTTGATTGTGATTTAGAATTTATGAATGAAATATTATGGCAATTTCAAATAGAAAAAATAGCTGATGAGATAACGGATTAAATATTTATTTTTAAATCGTAATAAATGATTAAACAACAGCAACCACATCAACTTAAGGCACAAACCATTACATACGCCATATATGCATATAATTCAAAGACGGCAGAACAAACGCAAAGGTTGAAATATGGAGATTTGGAGATAGTATTGAAAAATAGGTGTTTCGAATTCGTTTGCAAAGGTGGTGCAGTGATATCAAATATAAAAGAAATTTTATTTATGAATTCTAAAATTAAAGGTATAACAGATGATATAACATCAATTCCACCAGAAGAACAAAGATATTACGCATTAAATGCATTTCCCAAAGTTTTGAAGATTGGAAGATTTAATTTAAATGAGGAATTCATAAAAGGTTTTCTAAATGACATAATGAAGAAAGCGGATAAGGAATATGTGGCTAGTGAGTTAATGAAGAAAGCGGATAAGGAATATGTGGATGAAAAAGATAATGAAATTAAAGAAAGGGTTGAATGGTATCATGAATGGACATCGAAGATTTTTAAAACTAAAGCTGATACGGGATGGGTTTCAGGATGTTTAGACCTTAAAGCGGATAAAACTTATGTTAACGATGAGTTAGAGAAGAAAGTGGATAAGGAATATGTGGCTAGTGAGTTAATGAAGAAGGCAAATTTGGTTTATGTTGATGAAAAAGATAATGAAATTAAAGAAAGGGTTGAATGGTATCATGAATGGACATCGAAGATTTTTAAAACTAAAGCTGATACAGGATGGGTTTCAGGATGTTTAGACCTTAAAGCAGATAAAACGTATGTTAATGATGAGTTAGAGAAGAAAGCGGATAAGGAATATGTTAACGAAATATACCAAAGTTTGATAGGAACAACGAAAAATATTGAAACTATTGTTGGTGACTTTTCTGTCAATGAAGAAAATAAATATTTTAGATGGCAGTTTGTACAGTCCTTAAAAAATGGTACACGGTGTAAACTCATTCCGAAAAATAACAATGAAATGTATGTAAGTTATAAAAAGAATGATGGCACACAAGTTAAAGTTCCATTAGACAACAACTGTTACTTAAACTTATATGGAGACGAACAAAAGAAATATTTAAGAGTTTATGAAATGACAGATATGACATTGTCTAACCTAGCTCCAGCACCATATTATTATGACTATGGAGATGATGTCAGAACACACATGTAGATGAACAAAAGTTAACATTATATTTAGATTATTATAGATATAAAAGATATAATGCAATAGAAAAACGAGAATAGTATATTATTATACAGATGACAGAAATAAATATTATAGTCAAAATTTTACCTACCCTGAAAACATAAGATTATATTATAAAAAATATTCTGACACAAACCAGAAGAAACCTGAAATAGTTGCACTATATTTAAGTTCAAAAGAGACAATCCTATAATATCTCATATGTTTGATTTAATGAACCCAGTAGGTTCTATTTATACATCTATGGAAGCAAGAGGTCCTCAAGTAATGTTTGGTGTTGGTGCATGGGAACAAATAGTCGACAGGTTTTTGTATTGTGCAAACTCTTCAAAGGAAACAGGGGGAAGTAAAACGATTACAGGTGAAAATTTACCTGCACACAGTCACTACATAGATTTAAGCACATCTCAAGCGGGTTGGCATAAGCATAGATATTGGGATTGGTCAGGAATGACAAAAGGTAAAGGATATGATGTTAAAGATGACGTTAAGTTTGCTATAAATTGTTACTGGAGCGACACTCAGGGAGAAGGAAACCATACACATTTCGTTTCAGGATATACACAAACAACAGGACAAAGTAAAGAATACATGCCACCATTTATGACAGTTTACGCATGGTATAGAGTTCAATGAACGCTCAATGTTTGTTTCACAAACTTTAGGAGCTCCAAAAGAGTGAACGGTATAATTTAAATTTTTATTTTAGTATAAATGAAGATTCTACCATATGGTGTTATTGGAAGAGATAAAGATGGAAACCCAATATTTGATCCAAAGTTAAAATTAAAGTTACTGACAAGACAACAACTTGAAAAGTTATTGAAACCAAAACAGGATGAGAAAATGAGAAAGAAAAAAATTTAAATGATGTAATTTTATTTTTATCATAAATGACAAAATTAATTAAGCCAACTATTTCTAAATTAATGATACCAATGAAATCATTTCATGGAGTAATTATCCCAGGTTCTTCACAATTAGCCAGGGTAAGTGTTGGGACTCAAGGTGGAACATTAGTGAATCCATTCAAATTATTAACTAAAGATGAAGTTAATAAAATGATGATAAAATAACTGATAACAAAATTTAATTTTTTCAGTGCTACCATGTTACCGGGTGCTACCAGGTTAATTAACTTCTTTTAAAAATGGTGACAACATGACATTTTGACAACAGTCATGGAGGAAGGTAAAAATGAATTATTTTTGAAGAACTGAAGGTGCTACCATGTTACCGGGTGCTACCAGGTTAATTAACTTCTTTTAAAAATGGTGACAACATGACATTTTGACAACAGTCATGGAGGAAGGTAAAAATGAATTATTTTTGAAGAACTGAAGGTGCTACCATGTTACCGGGTGCTACCAGGTTAATTAACTTCTTTTAAAAATGGTGACAACATGACATTTTGACAACAGTCATGGAGGAAGGTAAAAATGAATTATTTTTGAAGAACTGAAGGTGCTACCATGTTACCGGGTGCTACCAGGTTAATTAACTTCTTTTAAAAATGGTGACAACATGACATTTTGACAACAGTCATGGAGGAAGGTAAAAATGAATTATTTTTGAAGAACTGAAGGTGCTACCATGTTACCGGGTGCTACCAGGTTAATTAACTTCTTTTAAAAATGGTGACAACATGACATTTTGACAACAGTCATGGAGGAAGGTAAAAATGAATTATTTTTGAAGAACTGAAGGTGCTACCATGTTACCGGGTGCTACCAGGTTAATTAACTTCTTTTAAAAATGGTGACAACATGACATTTTGACAACAGTCATGGAGGAAGGTAAAAATGAATTATTTTTGAAGAACTGAAGGTGCTACCATGTTACCGGGTGCTACCAGGTTAATTAACTTCTTTTAAAAATGGTGACAACATGACATTTTGACAACAGTCATGGAGGAAGGTAAAAATGAATTATTTTTGAAGAACTGAAGGTGCTACCATGTTACCGGGTGCTACCAGGTTAATTAACTTCTTTTAAAAATGGTGACAACATGACATTTTGACAACAGTCATGGAGGAAGGTAAAAATGAATTATTTTTGAAGAACTGAAGGTGCTACCATGTTACCGGGTGCTACCAGGTTAATTAACTTCTTTTAAAAATGGTGACAACATGACATTTTGACAACAGTCATGGAGGAAGGTAAAAATGAATTATTTTTGAAGAACTGAAGGTGCTACCATGTTACCGGGTGCTACCAGGTTAATTAACTTCTTTTAAAAATGGTGACAACATGACATTTTGACAACAGTCATGGAGGAAGGTAAAAATGAATTATTTTTGAAGAACTGAAGGTGCTACCATGTTACCGGGTGCTACCAGGTTAATTAACTTCTTTTAAAAATGGTGACAACATGACATTTTGACAACAGTCATGGAGGAAGGTAAAAATGAATTATTTTTGAAGAACTGAAGGTGCTACCATGTTACCGGGTGCTACCAGGTTAATTAACTTCTTTTAAAAATGGTGACAACATGACATTTTGACAACAGTCATGGAAATATGATGTAGCCCAAAAATAAAGTTAGTTTTAAAATTATTTTTATTTTTTTATTCCTATATAAATGACGGCAACAAACAACAACAGCAACTATATCGTTTCTGATGAAATAGTTATTGATCCATTAGTTGAGGAATTAGTTATGGCAGAAACTAAAACCCTCAGCGAAAGAATTGGTAAAAACATGATTGATTTACATAACTACCTCAAACATGATGGAGGAAGAGGAAGGAAAACAGGTATGGCTTTATTAGTAAATAAAATTCCAAATTTAACGATTATAGATGTTGATATCAATAAATCGTACAATGATGAACTTAAAGAAACAGTTAGAAAAGACATTTTATCAAAACTTTCGGATAAAGATGTTATCGTTAAAACCGCTTCGGGAGGTCTTCACATTTATTGCAACACTAATTTCTTCTATTCAACCTCGAACAGAATGATTAAATGTTATTCCTGCAATGATTATGATATTGATATAATGACTTCAATGGATGATTCAAAGCGTTCTTTAGTGGTTATGGCTGATTCAAGAGTTCGCAAGAATGCAACAGAACCAATCAATACATACTCATTCATTCGTGGAAGTTATGATTCAACATTAACCAGAACAGTGAATGATATATTAAATGATTTGAATATTAAGGTAAGAGTTGAACAAAAGAACGAAGAAATAAAGACTATCATGAATGAAAACAAAGATGTAAACATTGACGATAAACTAGCTCAAAGCATGTTTGATGGTATCTGTGATTTTGAAGTACATAATGACGGTGGAAACATGAATTTAGAAAAAGAAGTTACATTATTCACACTGTTTCAAGCAATTAATTCATTACCTAATCATTTAATTAATGAAGCATACGATAACGTTTATAACTTCTGCAGTTTAACAGAAAATGCAAAAAGTAATTTTGAAAAAGCACGTGATAGATATGCATATTTAATGACTTCTCCATTTGTTTTGGTGAAGATTCTAAAACTATATCAAAAGGAATATTATGATGAATATGTTTTACCTTTATTACGTAAGCCAAAAATAACATTTGATATCAAACTTGATGACTCGTTTTTGATAACAGATATTAGACGCAAGGCTGAAAATCATCAGTATAAAAACAGTTCTGAAGTAATTGAGGATTTATCACGTGTAATCCGTTTTGTAGATTGTGGAAATAAATATTTCATTCAAAAGGACTATAATATCCACGACAAAATGAATCAAATATCATTCGTTCTTCAATCAAACATGAAAGAGTCACTTAAAATGATTAAATTATTTAATGAAGAAGGTAAAACAATAACAGCATGGGATGTACTATTAAATCAATTGTCTTCATTAACTGTTAAGGGTGTTTGCTTTAAATCTAATTCCCCCGATGTTTTCTCAACGTTTCAAGGTTATAAATACAACATTCTCGAAAAGCCTGATTACTCAAAAATTGAGATGTTTATGAATTTCATTAAAGAAGCCATTTGTGATAATAATGATGAAGTGTCTAAATACCTACTCGGCTGGATTGCATCAATGATTCAACATCCTGGAATCAAGAATGAAACAGCAATTATTTTGAAAGGACTTCAGGGAACAGGTAAAAACAGATTCACTGACATTATTTCTGAACTTCTCGCTGGTTATTCATGCAAAAACATTACTGAAATAAGTGAGTTAACGGGTAATTTCAACTCAGTAGTTGAGAATAAAATGTTTCTTGTACTTAATGAACTCAAGAATGTGGGTGAAGACAGACTCGCAAACTTCAACGCTTTGAAATCAATTATTACGGATAATGCGATTAGAATTAATGAAAAGAATCAACCCAGAAGAACCGCTCAAAACGTTGCAAACTTCATTTTCGTAACTAACAACGTTTACCCTGTCAAAATTGAAGTTGGAGACAGAAGATATGTAGTTTTAAGAGTTAATGGTAAATTTAAGGGTCAATTTGATTACTTCAAGAATTTGATGGATTCATGCACAAAGGAATTTTATGATAATTTACTGACGTATTTTATACAATATGACCTTTCATCATTTAATGTACGAATCATACCGATGACTGAAGCCAAACAAGATTTAATTGAATTATCAGCAAATCCTTTAGATGCATGGATAAATACACATTATGATGAATTGTGTGCAGGTATGATGTGTGAAAATGCTTTATTCTGCAAACCATCAGACATGAAAGACAAGAATTTTCAAATGAGTATTAAGGATAAATGTGATAGGAAACATAGAAGAATAGATGGTAAACAAACATGGTGTTATGTTTTGAAAGAAGAAATGAAAGGA